CCCCTCCACAACCCCAATGTCATTCACAAATCTCTCACAGTTTAAGAGTAGTTTCTTATCATGTCCATCCCTCCACAATCCCGATGTCATTCACAAATCTTTCACAGTTTAAGAGTAGTTTCTTATCATGTTCATCTACTCTAACATTTCTTTTTTTTTTTATCTTATTAATCTGCATGAATACATAGTCATGATAGTTGCCTATACGTGGTTTCTCCAAAATTGCCTCAAAATTGACTGCATGGATATATCAAATTTCTTTTAATTGTTTTCGTTAAATGCAATTTATTTCGTGTAATAGTTAAAGCATGGATATAGCAAATTTCATTTGATTGTTTTCTTTAAATGTAGGTTATTTCTTGGAATAGTTAAAAAGAAAAGAAATGGTTACTGAATTGAATGTGTTTTAATCCAACTAAAACGGGTAGTGTGGTGTTCTTCCCAAGACAATCCGTTCAAATACAAAAACTTCAAAATGGAATTGGCTCCTTCGCTCAAAGGCTAATATAAATTGTTCCTCAACGTCCTCTAATTGAACAAATGTTTCCCAAACCTTTGCAAGCGTCGGATGAGTATCCACCATCTTTAGAATAACTTCATAGCAACGTCCTTCAATTGTTTTAATAATACATGTTTGGAATAGTTAAAAAGAAAATAGATGGTTACTGAGTTGAATGTGCATTTTTTTTAATCCAACTAAAATGGGTAGCGTGGTGTTCTTCCCAAGACAATCCGGTCAAATACAAAAACTTTAAAATGGAATTGGCTCTTTCGCTCAAATGTTATATAAATTCTTCTTCAACGTCCTCTAATTGAACAAATGTTTCCCAACCTTTGCAAGCGTCGGATGAGTATCCACCATCTTTAGAATAACTTCATAGCAACGTCCTTCAATTGTTTTAATAATACATGTTTGTGCTGATGCGTTTCAGTAGTGATGGCAGACAACAGGTAATAATGGCTAAAGAAGTTATATTGGAAAAGCCACATTAGAATGTAAACATAAGAACTAAAACTAAATTATTGTATGCATATCATTACATTCTCCTGTAGCTTAAGACTCGCTTGATTCGTAATAACCTGCAGAAAGAAACATGGTGCGATCATAATCATTCACATACTTCCTGAAAGAAATTTTGAACGATTTATTAGAGAAATTTGAAGGGTGGTAAGAAAAATATTGTTATAAAAGACATCATGCATCATGTAAAGAGGGTTTACATTTTTTCTTTTCATCTTTCTTCTGCATAACCAATGCCCCTCTCAAAGCAACTCAATCGCAACATACAGCTCAACTTAGGGTTGTAAACGAATCGAATCAAAGAGAATACTCAAAGATTCGATTCGGATTCGTTAAAATATTCGAAGATTCGAATTCGTATTCGATTCGTTAACGAACTCATTTTTAGATTCGTATTCGATTCGTTTAGAATATTCGACATATTCGATTCGATTCGAAATTCGTTTCAAAGAAAATTATAATTAAAAAATATTATAATTACAAAAATAATTTTTATTTTCATATATTTTTAGGAAAATTTGTTAGTTTATGATGTTTTTACTCTTTATGTCAGGAAAATAGTAGGAATATAACCATATATCATTACATATATATTATAAACAAAATGTATACAATACACAACACAACATACCAGTATATTCCCAACAAAATGTATGCTATATGTAATTTATAAAATTATATAATTATTGTTAACGAATCGAATATCTACAAATTCGAATTCGGATTCGTTTAACTTTCGAATATAAAATATTATTCGTATTTGAATTCGAATTCGAATCACGAAAATCAAATTCGAATATCGAATCGAATAAAAAAAATTATTTATTTACAAGCCTAGTAGAAAGTGAATAGAATCACTCGCAAAAATAATCTCATAGTAGCTTTGCTACCTTGAATACCATTGAAATGCCAGCCACAGTGGCTACAGGAAACTTAAAACAAGAAATCTAAAATAAATAATCAATTCTGATGGGTTATATTTATAGTTACACGCATATATGCTCAACTGGTTAACTCTAAGTTACTCAATGTCATGTTCACGACGTTCAATAATTAAGTGAGCAAATCAAGTAGAAAGACCACAAGATGCCCATGAACGTGTGACAATTCTAACTTTGAGACAACATAACTAAATGAGAAACTGTACCTGAACTTCAATGAGAAATTCTCGTGAACCGTCCATAATCACAACCACAGCCAAACCGTCAGATAATGTGAATTAGAGCGCAGCTCATCTAAGAACATCTTGTTTGGACTTCCTTGCAATTCTGACTTCGACATTTTGAAAACACCAAGCTGAAAATAATAAATGAGTACATAAAATACAAATACTGATACATTGCCAAGATAAAGACATAAGAACTAACATGCAACTAAAGATCACTATACCAACCGCGAATAAATCAAGTGCTTAAGTTTTCAATCAGATTGGATAAATGAATAATTTCTAAACTCAATCAAACAGCTGTAGAACTCAATTGTGGACCTTTCAATAAGAGGCTTTAGAAATCAGAAATTAATGTAATCAAAAACTAATGAGTAACTCA